AGAAATTGGCTTACAATCTTGCATATTGAAGTGATGCAAGATTTTCTTCAAGTAGTTCTTTTGACTAAGCCAAATCTTCTTATTATTTTTGTCTTGGTAAATTTGCATTCCCAGAATCTTGTTTGCCGATCCCAAGTCCTTTATTTCAAATTCCCTAGCCAATTGATCCTTCAAATTTTCAATACGATCTTTGTTGGAGCCTGTTACCAACATGTCGTCAACATACAAAAGCAGAATAATGAAATCATTATCACCAATTCTCATGTAGTATGTACATGGATCTGAACCGAGTCTATTGTATCCAAGGCGCATGATGAAGGGATCAAATCTCTTATACCAACATCTTGGCGCCTGTTTGAGATCATATAGAGATTTGTTCAACCTGCAAACCAAGTTCCATTTTCTTTTTTTCTTTAAAACCTCCTAGTTGGAGCATAACAATTTCTTCTTCAAGTTCTCCATGAAGAAATGCAGTTTTCACATCTAACTGCTCCATATGTACATCTCTGCTGATTATCACCTTGTGAGCAGTCGGAACCCACAGGTAGTACCCCTTCACTCCATCAGCATGCCCTAAAAAAATACATTTTCTGAATTTTGGATCTAGCTTTGATGTTTCTTGGGTGTTGTACATAACGTACACGAGACTTCCTCCATTGTCAGTCCTCAGACACTTAACATGCGTTTTGAGTATTTTGAAGACTATGAACACGTCTGCTTTCCTTTTGATTGGATACACCCAGCATCTCCTGGAGTAATCATCAATAAAAGATACAAAGTATCTTGCACCTCCTAGGGATATAACCGCTACTTTCCAAACATCGGAATGGACCAGCTCCAAGATAACTTTACTTCTAGCAGCGAAATTGTTGAACTTCAATCTATGCTGCTTATTAGTAACACAATGTTCGCAAAAGGGTAACGAAACCTTTTTTTGAGCCCTGGAAGAAGCTTTTGTGCTGAGAGAATTTTCGAACCATGTTTCGACGTGTGACCAAGCTTACGATGCCACATCATCGTTAATTCTTTTGCTGAAACTGTCGATGTGACAAATGCTTCTCTTTCTTCTCGTAGTATTTCTCCTTTAAGCATGTACAAATTTACAACTATCTTTTTAGCTTTCATCACCACAAGCGCGTCTTTGAAAATCTTTTTCTCCGCCACACTTGACAATACTCCATCAGCTAGTATAAGGTGCAGATTAGCAACTGCATTGCTATCCATCTCGTTCCACTTAGCATCGTCAGTAATCTCCTCGGGCCTCTGTCCAATTGCCGCCAAGCAGTTATCTTTTCTCAAAATTGCTTTTATTCTCATTTTCCATAATGAGAAATTGTTTTATTTGAACTTTTCAATCTCATACTTTGTCGCCAAATTTTTTTTCACCAATACTATGACTGAACAATGACCCTAAATTGAACCTTGCTTTGACCCCACTATTGGGGAGAAAACACGTGGGTTGACTTTGGCTGACAACGATAATGGAATTGAGAAATCGCAGCTAAAATGGACAAAGTATTTACGTGGTTCACCCAATTTAGGTTACATCCAGGGGCAAGTATGGGAGGATTCACTATAGTAGGAGAATTACAACATTCTCTCTAAATACAATAAGATAACAACAAATAATCTCTCTTGTAATTAGGAGAAAATTTCTCTCAATTTTCCCTCTCCATACGCATGGCTCTTTTTCCTTCAACTCTTGCCTCATTTTATAGAGAATTTTTTTCTGCGCAATTGCTTCAAAAAATTCAAGAAAGATGGCTATCAATGGGATGTCAAATGGCTGGAGCAAAGTTGGAAGTTCTACCGCCTTAGTGGCTGGAAAGGTCAAGAAAAATTGACTAAATTTTCTTCAAGTATTTCTGCTAAAGAGGGGCAATCAAAATTGCCAACTTTCCATTTGCATACATGCATGTTGCTTGGTTGTTAAGTGAGCGTCATGATAAAAAAGGTAGCTTTACTTCAACAAATTGTGCTAATTACCTCATTAACAAATTCATTAAATTGACTATTGCGTTGATTCCATTCTTCTCTACTGTCCAAATACATATCCATTATAAGAAAAATATATAAATGTTGTTAAGGTCAAGCCTATGTTTAATTTATTTAACAACAGATTATAACATTATAAGCTTATTATAAAAAACCATATTATGTGTTTTAAGTTCAATAGAATTGTACAATAATTAACTTTATTTGGCACGTCGATCGAAAGGCGTCCAAGATACATTCCATTACAAAACATAGTTGTTCACAAAGACAATTAATTAACATTGAACATACATTTCGCATCATATATATCTGTAAATTCACGAAAAGAAGAATGCAGCGTTACAAAAGGAATCTCATCTTTTGTGTATTAAAAATTGTTTTAATTTCACTATTTAATAATACCAACACTAACAATATCAATTTTATCTCTGTTGCAATTCACCGGACATGTCAAGGACAACATATTTAAGCTCATAGCTAATTATTGATGAACACACAACTCGGAATGAGAATAGACAAAATACAAACTAACAATACAATGAATAAGATTTCATGTACACCAATCAAGCAACAAATAAATCACTCTTTCAATTTAACAACAATTCTTTTTTTCTTTTATGACATGGTACTTATTAAATTATTCCAATTAAATAGTTGAGTTGGGACAACTTTTGTTACAAGGATAAGGACAGTCGATCTCTTGAAATTGACTTCGATCGTAAAACTAGTCTCCAACTGCTTTTGCAATTGTCTGTATACAACAATTATTTTGTTAGTTCATTTTTGTTTAATGGGGCAATATAAAAACATGTAATCGTGAAATTGGTAACAAACATGAACCTTGTTATTTAAGATCGGAGAGTGGGTCCCAAACCATGTTTCCCCTTCAGTTTGGCAGTGTGTATAGCAGGAATTTATGTAGTACCCTCTTGATATAGAGACACTAATTCCCTTCAATGCATTTATAAATTCCAATCTGAAATCTAAAAACCACATTAAATAGAAACAGCCTCAGTTTAGTTGCAAGTAAAATGCTGGTTGAAAGATTTAGATAAACAACTTATCATACTTTGAATGGTTTGGAGCTGACTCGGGGAGCAATTGCTAATATTATTCTTGCAATTGAGCCAAGTAAAATTTGGATCCGAAACATTAGGAGCCAAAATGTGACTTATCTGTAAAAATTAATGATGTGAAAAGAATTAAGACCATAAAATCAGATGATTGGAAAAGATAAGATATAACAATAAAAGTGCTCATGTCATTAAGATTCAATACATACTAACCTGCCATGAATCATAGGCAGAATTTGTAATGAAGAGTGGTGTCTGAATTTGTTGTGCAATGTTTTGAGGAAAAAGACACTAAATATTACAGTAATATAATTAGGAGACAAGTTTTGTGCTGAGAGAATTTTCGAACCATGTTTCGACGTGTGACCAAGCTTACGATGCCACATCATCGTTAATTCTTTTGCTGAAACTGTCGATGTGACAAATGCTTCTCTTTCTTCTCGTAGTATTTCTCCTTTAAGCATGTACAAATTTACAACTATCTTTTTAGCTTTCATCACCACAAGCGCGTCTTTGAAAATCTTTTTCTCCGCCACACTTGACAATACTCCATCAGCTAGTATAAGGTGCAGATTAGCAACTGCATTGCTATCCATCTCGTTCCACTTAGCATCGTCAGTAATCTCCTCGGGCCTCTGTCCAATTGCCGCCAAGCAGTTATCTTTTCTCAAAATTGCTTTTATTCTCATTTTCCATAATGAGAAATTGTTTTATTTGAAGTTTTCAATCTCATACTTTGTCGCCAAATTTTTTTTCACCAATACTATGACTGAACAATGACCCTACATTGAACCTTGCTTTGACCCCACTGTTGGGGAGAAAACACGTGGGTTGACTTTGGCTGACAACGATAATGGAATTGAGAAATCGCAGCTAAAATGGACAAAGTATTTACGTGGTTCATCCAATTTAGGTTACATCCAGGGGCAAGTATGGGAGGATTCACTATAGTAGGAGAATTACAACATTCTCTCTAAATACAATAAGATAATAACAAATAATCTCTCTTGTAATTAGGAGAAAATTTCTCTCAATTTTCCCTCTCCATACGCATGACTCTTTTTCCTTCAACTCTTGCCTCATTTTATAGAGAATTTTTTTCTGCGCAATTGCTTCAGAAAATTCAAGAAAGATGGCTATCAATGGGATGTCAAATGGCTGGAGCAAAGTTGGAAGTTCTACCGCCTTAGTGGCTGGAAAGGTCAAGAAAAATTGACTAAATTTTCTTCAAGTATTTCTGCTAAAGAGGGGCAATCAAAATTGCCAACTTTCCATTTGCATACATGCATGTTGCTTGGTTGTTAAGTGAGCGTCATGATAAAAAAGGTAGCTTTACTTCAACAAATTGTGCTAATTACCTCATTAACAAATTCATTAAATTGACTATTGCGTTGATTCCATTCTTCTCTACTGTCCAAATACATATCCATTATAAGAAAAATATATAAATGTTGTTAAGGTCAAGCCTATGTTTAATTTATTTAACAACAGATTATAACATTATAAGCTTATTATAAAAAACCATATTATGTGTTTTAAGTTCAATAGAATTGTACAATAATTAACTTTATTTGGCACGTCGATCGAAAGGCGTCCAAGATACATTCCATTACAAAACATAGTTGTTCACAAAGACAATTAATTAACATTGAACATACATTTCGCATCATATATATCTGTAAATTCACGAAAAGAAGAATGCAGCGTTACAAAAGGAATCTCATCTTTTGTGTATTAAAAATTGTTTTAATTTCACTATTTAATAATACCAACACTAACAATATCAATTTTTTCTCTGTTGCAATTCACTGGACATGTCAAGGACAACATAATTAAGCTCATAGCTAATTATTGATGAACACACAACTCGGAATGAGAATAGACAAAATACAAACTAACAATACAATGAATAAGATTTCACGTACACCAATCAAGCAACAAATAAATCACTCTTTCAATTTAACAACAATTCTTTTTTTCTTTTATGACATGGTACTTATTAAATTATTCCAATTAAATAGTTGAGTTGGGACAACTTTTGTTACAAGGATAAGGACAGTCGATCTCTTGAAATTGACTTCGATCGTAAAACTAGTCTCCAACTGCTTTTGCAATTGTCTGTATACAACAATTATTTTGTTAGTTCATTTTTGTTTAATGGGGCAATATAAAAACATGTAATTGTGAAATTGGTAACAAACATGAACCTTGTTATTTAAGATCGGAGAGTGGGTCCCAAACCATGTTTCCCCTTCAGTTTGGCAGTGCGTATAGCAGGAATTTATGTAGTACCCTCTCGATATAGAGATACTAATTCCCTTCAATGCATTTATAAATTCCAATCTGAAATCTAAAAACCACATTAAATAGAAACAGCCTCAGTTTAGTTGCAAGTAAAATGCTGGTTGAAAGATTTAGATAAACAACTTATCATACTTTGAATGGTTTGGAGCTGACTCGGGGAGCAATTGCTAATATTATTCTTGCAATTGAGCCAAGTAAAATTTGGATCCGAAACATTAGGAGCCAAAATGTGACTTATCTGTAAAAATTAACGATGTTAAAAGAATTAAGACCATAAAATCAGATGATTGGAAAAGATAAGATATAACAATAAAAGTGCTCATGTCATTAAGATTCAATACATACTAACCTGCCATGAATCATAGGCAGAATTTGTAATGAAGAGTGGCGTCTGAATTTGTTGTACAATGTTTTGAGGGAAAAAGCACTAAAAATTATAGTGATATAATTAGAAGACAAGTTTATGTCAAAGTGCAAATCCATTCAATCTAGTTAAGAAAATTCGTATTACCAAGCCGGTTTTCCCTTTTGACGTACACGATGATGGCAAATTCCTCGTCGATCCCTACATCCAAGTTAATGATGAAATTGCTATTACAAGATTATCAAACTACTATTTAATAAGCATGCAAATGATTATATATCTAAGAAAAATCATACATGTGTCCTGACGACATCATTGTAGTAATCCTCGATATAAGATGATCCAGAAATATCTTTCCTATAGAAGAGGATAAAAGATGTTAGCTTTACTTAAAATAGATGGACGTAAGTCTTATGGACATCAAATCTTGTCTAGATACAAGGCCTTTTATGAAAGCTTACGCATTTATGAAATAACCGGCATCAGAAATACACTTTACTTTAGAGCCCTTAGGAACAAGAGATCTAAAGCTATCGCAATGCAAAATTGATGTCAACCCACCGGCTGAACATCCAGACAGAATAGCCTGCGTATGGATACTACAAGTTACAAATGTTTTATTCAGTAAAAAATGGAGGAGTATTCATAAGAAAAATTTGTACATTTTCAGCTTTTTTCATTCCTTTCTCCAGCAGCTCCTCCATGACAGCAAGAAAAATCCTCGCCCCTCTGAAGTGAAGTTTGGTAGCCTAATCAATTTTGACAAGAAAAATATTACAACAAGAAAATCATCCACTATAATTTTCAAAAATGCCGTTAAATTATATCTATCTATCAACTTCAAGAAAATCCTGTAAAATATGAGAAAAACAATCATATGAACATGATGACTTACAGGATCCACTGCTTTTACATCCCCAGTAAATGATGAGCCATCACAATACCTTACCTTGATCCTATTCCAATTATAGAAATCTGGAAATTTACATGAGAGACAATATTAAAATCCTACGGTAAAGAAGATAAAATATTCGAGAATAAATCAAAATCCAAGTCAATCAAAAGATTGAAGTATACCGGGGTTCATCTGTGGCTCGTTGCTCAAAATCCCATTGAAAGCAAGCTGTTTAGCCATGTCCTTGGAGGAACCCTGTTTTTGGTTCATACGGACTAGGCAATCCGCGACATTTTGGCACCATCCACCTCCCTTAATATCGAAGATAAACGCATCTTAGATTCTCCTCAACAAAAACCAATGACATAACTAGCTTACGTTTTAATATGATATTAGCATTCTACAGTTAAAAGAAATATGTAATAGCTTAGAATAACCTCAATATGAACCAGCCAACTGTTTATTCCCGTCCCAGATCCTCTATCAAGATGGTACACTGGTGAACTCCCATCTAAACAAACTGCATATACAAACAGTATGAGCATATATAGTTAACTGTTTTTCCCTTAGAAATACGTAAAAAAAATAAAAATAAAAATAAATTAATATTAGCATGGTGGCATTGTTTTACCAGCTCCTTTTGCTGCAGCATTGGAAAGATAAGTCTTATCAACCAAGACTCCTTCGATCCTCGATGAGATCAGCATGTAAAAAAGGATTTGCAGCATCGTTCTATATAAGTAATATCAACAAAAGGCTTAGAAGCTACTTCCCAAAAGGAATGACAACAATATTAAGAGACGGAGTGAAACTTATATGTAGAAAATGTAACTTGTTTTCCTGAAGGTTAGGGAGAAAGAAAGTGTTAGACATCATGCTGTCAAACAACCTCCCGGGCGATGATGAAAACCAATTTTATCAGTCGACATGAATGACTGAACGATAATTCAACATCGAATAATGGATAAACCGACCAAACGTTGCTTTACCTATTGGATGGCTAATACTCTTTATGGCTTGTTGTTTCTTTCCATTGGGACTTAACCCTAGTCGAGCCTACTTACCATATTTTGACTTACCTTATGTTGGCCACTTAACTAATATATATATTGGTGGTTTTCTTTCTACTCCTCACCCCCGTTTAAGAGAGAACCCGAGAGGTAAAGAGAGACTGCCGCTTTCTTCTTCGTGATTTGTCTTCCTACCAAATTGTTTGAGCCTTTGTGACTCTTACCTGTGTGGTATCCATCCTAAGTGTGTGATTGAATCAACAAGCAAAAGAGGAAATAGCAACCATAGGAGAAGAGAAGTCGGCGGGTCGGTCACCTTTGGTTATGGTGTTGAATTCGATGTTTAATGGTTAACTGAGCCCGGAAATCACTTTGAGCAACTTAAGGAAGATCCTAACATCTAGTATCAGAGCTTGGGTAGCAAAAATTGGCTCAAAATCGGATGAATTTCGGACTTGAACCTTAGAACCCGAATCTGAAAATTTCCAATTACTCACAAACCAAAGCTCGGTTGGACAAATGGAGGCCATACCCATCACCAGCAGGTCAAGGCGCTCCCGGAGAGGCGGCACGTGGCGGCGGCGACGGCGACAGCGCGTGGGCGGCTGTCCGACGACGCTATCTTCAGGTAACTTGCTTGTTTTGATCTCCTGAACGCGCTGATATACTTTGTTTTGTGTTTCAGGTTACACAGAAAAAGTTGGACGATTTTGCCCTTTGGTACGACGCCGACTAAAATTCAACAGCAAGCTCGTTTTTCTCCACTCTACGGACTCAGATAGGTCCGCTCTGGTAAATTGGCTAAATCCATTTAAATTCAGCAATAGCAAGATCATCGTGTGGGGTGATCGTTAGGTTTTGGAGTTACCGTGAAGGGGTAACCATTGCTTGTGCTAGAACTAGGATTAATTGCGTTAATTGAGTGCTTGTTCTTTTGATTTAAAGTGCTTGATATTTCTTGGTAGACGTAGCATTTAGGTTCATTGTTACTTTTGCTAAGAATTAACAAGATATTACCTTATCACGCTTCCCAATACTACTTCGTGTGGTTTAATTAGTGTGTTAACCAATGACAACACATAATTTTGATTTGGGAATTTTTAACGGTAAAGGGGACTTCTCTATCTGGCAACAAAAGATGAGAGGCATACTAGTCCAACAAAAGGTGTCAAAAGCCATTGAAGGCAATTTTGCACCTGAGATCTCAAAAGAACAAAAAGAGGAAGCCGATGAGCTTGCCTATACCTCAATAATATTACACTTGTCTGACATTGTCTCAAGAAAAGTAGGAAAACTAAAAACCACCAAAGAACTTTGGAAAAGACTAGAAGACTTATACTTGCTTAAATCTACATCGAATAAACTCTACTTACTCGAACGATTCTTCAGCTTTAAAATGGATCCTTCAAAGGATCTCGACGACAATTTAGATGTATTTAACAAATTGGTGCAAGATATTGTCAATTGTGACGAAGTCATGTCTGAAACCTATAAGGCCATTACCTTGCTTAATTCAATCCCGGACTTTTATAAAGAAGTTAAAAATGTCATTAAGTATGGTAGGGACACGTTAACACCTGAAATTGTCGTAGATTCTCTTAGGAGTAAGGAGATGGAAATGAGGGCTGAAAAACAGGATAGGAGGAGTGGAGAGTTGCATATGATGCGGGGTAGAACTCAATTTAGGCAAGCCAGTCGTGATGGATACCAAAGTAGTGGCGAATCAAGTAGTAATAGTTGGAAAAACGTGGAGAATCAAGTAGTAATAGTTGGAAAAAGAAGGGGAATGGTAGACCTAGATCAAAGTCTAGAACTAAGGGTAGAAAATGCTATGGCTGTGGAGGCACAGGACATTTTATAAAAGACTGTCATAAAGACAAGGAAAAACAGAAGGTTAAAGAAAGAGATGAGGTAAATGTGTTATCCTCTACTTCCGATACCGAAAACGGTGAAGTCTATGTGATCACTAGTCCAGTCGTATACACTACTGAATTAAATCTAACTACTAATTCTCACATGCATGAATAGACATTAGATTCTGGTGCGTCTTTTCATGTGACATCTGAAAAGAGCTGGTTTGAAAACTTGCAAGAATCTATTGATGGGCAAGTAGTTCTGTGTGATAACTTCGCCTATACAATTGCTGGAATTGGAGACATAAAGATAAAATTTAACACAGGCTTTGTGTACATGTTAAAGGAAGTTAGATACATTCCGAAATTATCTAGGAATTTGATTTCAGTAGGAAGACTTGAGAAAGACAACTTCACCGGTAAAATTGAAAACGATATGTTTAAAATGATGAAGGGTGCGTTAATCTCTATTAAGGGAATCAAGAAAAACGACATTTACATCACTACTGGGGAAGTGATTAGAGGATTAAACTCCTCTATTTCTTCCGCTAAAATCGATCACACACATACGTGGCATAGTAGGCTTGTACATGTAAGCATTAAAGGACTTAAGCTACTTAATGAAAAGGTGCATTTGGTAATGACTGTGTGTCTGACCTATCGTTTTATGATCACTGTGTGCTTGGAAAGCACCATAGAGTGTCGTTCTCCACTAGTACGCATAAGGCTAAAAGCATGCTTGAATATGTGTATTCTGATCTGTGGGGTCCTGCTAGTAATCTCACATCGGGTGGGAATAGGTATTTCCTATCTATCATAGATGACTACACAGAAAAGTGTGGGTCTATCTATTGAAAGACAAAACTGAAACCTTCCATAACTTTAACAATTGGAAGAAACAAATGGAAAATCAAACTAGCAAGAGGATCAAATTTTTAAGGACAAATAACGGCCTAGAATTCTGTAATGCTGAATTCGATAGGATGTGTAAAGAAAGTGGAATAACAAG